GGGCGGCTTGCTTGATATCGGCAACCGTCGCCGGAAACTGGACCACAATGGTGAAAGCCTCGGGCTTATATGTCGGCTTGAGGACGACAACACCAACCTGCCTGACAACAGAGACCTCTACATCTTCCTCTGACGAATCATCTCCAACGCCTGGAAGGGCTGGTAGAAGCGCATCATCAACAAAGTTGGGCCACGGGCCGCCTAGTTGTATGGTGACGTGTCTCAAGGCAGCGAGGTCGAGGCCCGCTTCAGGCCGGTTGCAAGGAGGACACTGCAAGAGCTTGGCCTCCAATTTTGCCGGGTCTGAAGCATAAGACGGAAATCCAGGCAGCAAGGACAGAACTGAAGAACCAAGCCCTATACTCTGAATAAAGAAAGACCCACCCTGTGGCACTGAAAGGCGAGCCTCAGTGGCTCTTCCAAGGGGACTGGAAAGCCAGCTAAAGCAAATAGACTTAACCTTAACCCGGCATCGAAAGGCTAAACCTGATCGGACCAGCTTGGCCGTATGTTTGACAAGGTGGTCCCTGCCATCGAAGCCTGGGCTGTAGGAGTGGTCCGACGTTTGATCCGCAGGAGACATGTTTGGCCTTCTCCTAGGAGTGCGGGACCGGGTGGACGCCTCTGATCTACGAACGTCCTCTGAGCTTTCGGGATCCTCCTGGTCCGGATCTTGGTCCTCCGAATCTGAATCTGACCCGGAAGAAAGTTCCTCTGAGGAGGAATGAAACCCGGCATGCTCGAAACCAAAAACCAAGGTGTCACTATGGTTGACCTCTAGCCTATCACGGCGCATGCGACCGCCCAGAACTCTAAGTCGCCAACCCGGGGGCGGAGACCTAGCAACCAAGCGGCTGATCTGCTCCCTTGCGATGTGCGGACGATCAAGCACCAAGAATTGGAAAGTCTCCCCGACAAGACGGAGGTCCAGGAAGACAACATAGGTAGGACTATCCTCCGGTGTGATGTCTCGTTCAGCAGCCGCAATAATACCATGCATGACTGTGCCTCGGAACATGATGGGCCTCATGCTGTTCTCGGTAGGGGTATGAAAATTGACGCTCCCCCTTTCGACCCCAATGAACCTAGCTGCAGCCTCATCGACCGGTAAGTGTCCTGTTTCCTGACGAAAGACAAAACGGCCGCGCCGGTGCAAAATCAGCAGAGCTCGCGCGGCGGGGAGCGGCGGCAACACCGGATGCAGCGGCCATGAATCAGGGAACAACAGGGAGTAGGAGAGGTCATTCGAGTAATGTGGCCAAACGTCATTACAAATGAATGTAATAAGGCTGCCCGATTCCAGAAAAACAGCCTCGTCATCTGTCAGGGGATCCCGGCTGGACCCTATGAAGACACGACATGGCCTAGTCCCATATATGCCTGCCTGGCGGCAGAGATCCGCCTTGCACGTCGGCCGTAGGACAAAGGTGGCCATCATTGGTCCTCGATTAGAATAGCTCACATCACGGAGGTCCAGGCAAACCGCGGTCATAGCCGCGTACGTAACCCAATCAGGTACAGCGAGCATGGCCGGGGCGCAAGCCGAGGGCTGTGGACGAACCGGAATGATCCTATTACAGAACTTCCATTGACTGGGGTCAAGCTGTCTCTCAACCGCCAACACCGCATCCGCCACATCACACGGCATGCCTAGGGGAAATCTTAACACCTGAAGACAGAAACCCGGAGAGGCTATCCAAACCGTGAAATCCACATCTCTCGTGGCAACCGGCCTGGTCTCTGGTCGGCGGGTAGACAGCTCCCACCTAACAGGCAGGGGCGGAGGAGGCCCCCTTGGTGGGCTAACTGTCGGGTGTATGATGTCCGGCGTGGAGTTAGCTGGAATACCAGGGGTGTCCTCTAATGGATCCGGTGGTGGCGGGTAGTAACGCCCCGCACGTTCGGGGCTGTTGATCTGCTCGCCCACATGTGCGACTAGCTCCGGGATGCCTGGAGGAGCACTCCACACGCATGTCGGAAGGGTAAGTAGGAGGAAAGACCATAGGCTCCGTAGGGGCAATCGAGACCGTCGCAGGCCCATCCGGGCAGAACCTGATCTACGGGATCTATGAGGCTTTCCACCGCGTCCTAGCACCCTTAAAACACGAACCATAGTGAGGCCTGTGAAGTCCATACAAACTAAGGCCTGACATGGAATGCCAGAGACAGGTCCCCATAGCGCCGACCAAATAGGGGATTGTTTGCCTGGTATGGCACGACCCAGCAATTGCCACAATGAGAGCAGCTGGATGAGCAAAAGGGATAGATAGAATGCAACAACGCATTCCACCAAAAGTGCAAAGGCCTGATCGGACCTGCGCAGGAGCGGTCCTTGCGATTGTAGTCGTACCAGGCTGGTGGACGCCCCTGAGCTACCGATGCGTCTCTTAAGCACGCAGCGAGGTATGACACGAAAAACTGTTGGCATTGGCCGGCACGGTACGGTACAAGAGGCGACGCCTCTGTGACCATCAACCTTGGACCTAACATGTACATCGGCACAAACCTGCATGGGAACAAGTGGCACGAGTCGCTGGGCAACTCCCCTCAGTGGAAGACAAACAATGCTGGTGGACGCCCCAGAGCTACCGATGCGCCTCTTAAGCACGCAGCAAAGTCGAGCCTTAAAAAAGACAGGGAGAACCCAAACTGGAGCGGGCCTAGCAAGACCCACGCCATGGCCAAAAGTACCTGCGTCAAGGGGCCTGCCTTGGACCTTTGCAACCCCAAACTGGCAAAAAAGGGGGCAAGGGCAAAAATCCGGTGTGGCTGGTGTGTGCAAGAAAGTTGCCGGCGGACATCCCAGAGCTACCGATATGTCTCTTAAGCGCTCGGCAAGGGCAGGGGCAAAGCAGAACACACCTGAGCTGAGGTATCAGCAACGAATCCCCAAAGGCGGCGAGAGCCGGAAGATTGAGAAACAACTCCCAGCTCGTAGTACCTTTGGAGTGCTTCGGCAAGGCTGGGCTTACAAAGAGACCTGCATAGACATACCTAAGGAGAAAGCCATAGCCAAGTGACCCGCCCAGGGTCCAAAACCTGCCTGCACCTGTTGCGAAAAGGCTCAGATCCTGCATGGGCTGGTGGAGGGAAAAAAGCGGCCTACCTCTGTACAGAGAACCTACCCCGTTCAGGCTCGGATACAAACCTTCTGGAGCACCCTCTATCGAAGAAGGTTCTTGCCCTGTGGTGGACTCATGGTCGGGGGCTGACCCATTCCCAAGGATCAGCCACGAGACCGTAGGCACCGCAAGGCGAACCAGTCCCTCGAAGAGAGCGCTGCAGCCCGGCCGTGTCCGAGGCGGACCTGTACAAGAAGTGGCCTTCACAATCGTCACTCCATCTTTCCCAAACCAGGGGATGCAGCGCCGGGCCTTTCTGGGATTGCCTCGTTGAGCTCCGCATCCTCTATATGAACAACATGCCCATCCGTTCTCGGTAGTGGGCCCCCAAAGGGCCGCATAGCACGTCTCTGCTCCAGCTTGGCTGAAAGTGTCGGTTCCGGAGGTCTTGGCGGAGAAGCAAGGGCATGCGTCTCCACAGGAGCCGCAGCCGTAGATGGAGGGAGTCCTGGCGGGGCACCGGTCTCGCCAGAGGCTGCCAGGGCCGCGACCCCTGGGGAAACATTGTACGGCTCCGGTCTGTTCGCCTTCTCCAGTATGGGGGCGTAGGTCTGCGAGGTTTTGACAGCTGGCGGGGTATGCGGAAGGCCGCACGTAGCCCTGTGCGGCGGTGTCGTGGGGGCTCCAGCGTCCTTGGGCGGACCATCCACCCCAAAATGGGGAAGCTCTCCAGGAGGGTGCTCTCGCTTGGCCATAACCCTGCGGGCATAATGCAGGTCGGACTCTCCATGGGAATCTTCCTCCATGATCCCGTCGGTCGCAGCACTGATGATAGACTCCCACTCCGCCATCGCAGCGCTGACCCGGCGATCCGGCTGTTCTCCACTGAGCGAGGCCGTGATCACATCCCTGATCTGCTGGTGCGCCATCTGCTGAGCCTCCTTGGTTTCCACAACCTCCTTGTTGAGCCTGCTCATGTCTGCGTCGTGGCGACGTCTCTCCTCCACAAAGGACTTCTGCATCTTGGCCACATATGCCTGCCACCTCCGTTCCTTCTCTGTAAGTTCTGAGGTGAGCTTGTCGAGCTTGATGTCGTACTTGCGGGCTCCGTTGATGGCCTTCTGCACGACCCCAACAAACGAAGGTGCCTCCGCAGGCTTGTCTTTCGTCCTGACCTCCTGAACCGGTATGATATCCGGTTGCTTCCAATCGACATCGTACGATGGGAAGGCCGAGGCCTGGGACATCCCCTTGTTGCGAGGACTCCACGCACCCTGCCAAAGTTGCCACTGCCTCTGGGAAGAAGAACCCTGTTGCGAGTAGCCAGTATAGCCACTTGCGCTCCATCTTCCGTTTCCAGTCTTCTTCCCCATAGGGTGCTTCAGGCGCAGTTGCTCTCTGGTGTATGCCGAGGTAGCGTGGTGGCCGACGAGACGGCACACCTGTTTTCCGGAAAGGGGGCGTCCGGAGCGGAGAGCTCTTCGGGCTCGAGCGCGGCGTAGGCGCTGTCGACGATGCCAGGTAGGCGAAGGGGGATGCTTTATGGCTCCCTAAAAACGTGTGCACAGCACACTGGGGCTAACGATGTTCCTGTCAGTGCCGGGACAGGCGATTCGAGCCCTCCACGACCTATTGCCTATTATATACTATTAATAACTATTGCTCGAGCTCTAATATCTATTATCGACTGGTTGCTGCCTGCTACTGCTTAATTGATATGTGATATCTATCTCTTTTTTTCTCCTTTCTGATTTCTTATCTATTAGCTGCTATTCAATATTTCTTATCTAGTGCCTGAGATCTCATTTCTATTATCGATTATCTATTTTCCAGCTTGTAGTGTCTACGGGCTAGGATGTACAGTTTAGGATTGGGTAGCTGTAAGACAGATTGATGATTCGACAAATCTGCCTTTCCTGCCAGGTTGTTTTGGTCGCCTCAGTCCGGCTTGAATATCAGATTCATCAAGGAAGGAGTCCGTGTTCGGGAAGCAACACCTGCAACCCCGGCCTCTGATTCCGTAAGGCGGAGATGAAGTGTCAGTGAAGACACCCGTCTCTGTTCGACTGTGGACTCATACTCCCCCATCACGTCATCCACGACGTCTACAGTTCCATGATGCGTCTCCAAGCTTAAGCGCTCACCATAATGCATCAAGATGTCCTGTGCCACATAGATGGCTTTGGTGATGCTCGCGCCCATGCCGTGAATCACCACCTCTCGGTGGCCTTCACGGTCGAAGAGTCGCCTGGAAAGCAACGTTCATGAACGCACAAGACAGCTGGCTCACAGCTCTAAACGTGTCCAGTCGCGGTGCCTTATGCGCTTGAAAAGAACTGCAAGGCTCTGGTTTCGCGCCACATAGACCTTCACCACACGGCCGACTCACTGACATCAAACCGTAAAGGGCTGAGACGATGATATCTCTCCATAGTTCAAAAAACATCTAGGAGATTGCACCACGCGCTGTCAAGGACCTCGTTCTCTGCCGTACTGCGCACGGGAGCCCTCCGTTGGATCAATCGCGGCCCTTCCTCCGAAGGTTCATTCACCTGCCAGGGTGTTTGCACCATTCAGCCAGGCTTGGACGACAGATCCAGAAATTTGAGCAGCAGTGATATGGATCCAGGTAATTTCTCATACTCAAGTCACCAAGACATGAACATGAGCAGCAGGACGAAAGTGTTTGGAAAGTGTATCTATAAAACACGCGTCGGTGTCGCCGCATGTCGACACGAATCCACGACAAGTACTTGCAGTGCTCAGTCCGTCCAACTTACAATCCTGACGACAGGCAATGGCAATGACGTGCACCCTAGCAACCAAGACCAGATTTTAACATCTTGGACAGTGGTTACTGCACCCCGAACCACGCAAGCCATCCAGTCCGGTCCAGCACCAAACACAATCATTCCCTTGCAAGCCTTGGCTCGCTTCCGGTATGCGTTTCTTGGCTGGCGGCTTTGGGCCGCAACGAAAAATTCCTCAACTTTGTACCCGTCCCAGCCTGTCCCGCGGCAAGGTCCATTGCCGGCCAACTGCATCTAGCACAGATGTCGCAAGAACATACCACAAGGACCAAGTATTCTGTTGTTGGGAGGAGCTGAGGTTCCATTGGCTGGAATATGTAAAACATGTTGAACGGAGAAACCGAAACTGTCTTGCCAACATTGCAACTGAACCCAAGCTTTCTTTGACACACAACATCCTGCACGATAAGCTTCAGCTCTTCAGCCATCGTGCAACAATCGACTCGGGACGGAAGAGGGAAACACCTTCGCACTTTCGTCGCTGTGTAGGCTTCCAGGTCTAGCTCGGCCACTGCATTTGTAGCAGAGTGGCTGATGCTCCCAGCAGGGCACGCGTGACCCATGCTGAATAGCTTGAGGTCCTACTGTTCGCCCAAAAACCTTCTGTGTGATTGTCGGAACCTCCCCCTACACAACAAGTACATCACAGGGTTTGGGAGCGTGGAAAAAAACTTTTTCAGTCGTTCACCTGGACATCTTCGCCTTGGCCACAGACATCTGTTGCACTTCTTCTGCTATCTTCTGCTCTGCAAAACCAAGCAGGCAAGATCAGGCAAGTGGCAGACACCTCAGGTGCTGAAAGCTGCCTGTGAGGCATAATCACCGAGGCTTGAAGCATCCCAGTCCTTGGCGGTTGCGACGCATGGTTGCCGATACCCAAGGCGAACCTTAATAAATAAAGCCTTTATACGTCGGATCCTCATTATGCCGAGACTCCCTTCGGGATCCGCGGCATCGCTCTGCCTGCTCCACAATCAGTCTTTTCTTACGAAGGCTGGTCGGACACTCTATGCTGCAAACCGGCCTCCATGAACAAAACATGCACAATGGAGCTGCCCAACACGGGCCAACAATGTTCTGTAAGCATCCCGATGGGGTTGCAAGTGGCTGTCTGCCGTCACAGCCAAAGCCACATCAACCCCCTAATTCACCCCATTGCCAAAGCAGAACGGATGGGGCACTAGCTCAAGCATGATCGAGGTTTCTCGATCCCCCAAGCTGTTTCGGCTTTCGCAGCAGCAAGGAATCTGTACAGTGCACTAATTAGTGCTTTCGACTGACAGCGCTTTGCCCAGCCGGAGCTGTGCAGTGTCATGCAATCTCACGCGTCATCTGCATAAGCAGAGCACGCGAACATCTCGTCAAGCCTGTGGCAAAGCAACAGCAAGTGGTCTCCAAAACAAAAGACACCGAGCCCCGCCGCCCCGCCTGTCGAGAGTCATTACCAAAGCTCTGGCATCACGGTCCCCTGCACCGTATGTGATTACCACGGTGCCGCTGTGCACCTCAGAACAGCATTTAGGGCGAAAGCTGCTTCCCGGAACGCGATGTTCATGCATCCACCTTTGAGTCTCTGACGGCAAGGCCGCTTGCGAAAGCAAACGGGACACCACCTCACAGCCAGTGAGCAGATCGGGACGACGAAGTCGAAACTCTAGCGAGCTTGCTTTCCGCGCCTGGAGTTGCAGCTGCTTCCGTCAAAGGCAATTTCGATGAGAGCTGAAGCATCATGAAGGGCGGCTCTGCTCCGAAGCGGTACCTCAAGTTAGAGGTTCCAGGTACAAAGATCACATGCCTATACGTCGAACGGTGCCATCCCGCATTAAGGCTCGAACGCGTGGTGGGCATAACCTGAGCGTGACAGCAGCTCTGAGAATCATATCCGTTAATCAGCATGACTTTTGCAGCGCGTGAACTCACCAAGCAAGTCAAGCAACGACCCGTGGAAGTGTCGAAGATATGCAACAGAGCCAAATAATGCGGCCGTGCCAAACTGGGTGTTGCCTCCAAGTAGCTGGAACTTTTGTGCAACCACTTAAAGGTCAAGCATATACCCTTACTTGCCCACGTCTCCTGCGAGTTGTTCACGTACACAGCTTGTGCGGAACCTCGGATCCTGCATTGGATGAAAAGCAAAACACCGATCTTCACACGCGAGCCAATGTATCTTGACAGTTGGTAAGAAAGAAACAAGAAGCACTTGCTCAATTGGTAGGTGAACTGCAGAGTCTTGGACACTGACAAGGGCAAGGACAGCTGACTGGAACACCGACACACTCCGACCGGGTGACCGACCAGAGCACGATCCGGACCAGACCGGGACAGTTATATACGTGCGTGCATACACAAATATTTTATGTATATGTATAGATGTAGACACCATACACATGTGCATGCGGACACATTGGACACATGAATACTGGACTGGGACACCGACCAGCACACTGCCGGGACACGAAGGAGACTGGACGTAGACAACCGAAACTTCGACAAGAACAACGACACGACCCTGACACGAACAGGTCTCATGATCACGCGGACACCGATCCGACTGAGACACGACCAGCCACGACCGGAACACGATACGATTGACACCGATCGGAACACGGACTGGGACACTGACGAAAACACCGACCGACCCGCCGGCCACGACCGAGACGACACTGGCCTGGACCACCCGGACAACTGACAAAACACTGACACGGACCCCCAACGCCCATGCCGATGACGGGAAGCCACGACCACTGACGGTAACCGTGACACCCCCGGGCCACCACCACTCGGTCGGACCAACCGTCACCGACGGGACACGACCAAAAGACGACCTGAGCACGACCGGCACCGATCGGGACACCGACCCCAAAAAACAGACTGGGCACCGACCAGGACCAGAACGACCAAAATACCGATGCAAACACCCTGACGGGCCGAGCTATCCGCACCAAACGCTGCCCTGAATTGCAGGGAACGTCTTGCTCAAACCCAATCGTTAACATGTTTCAGACTGACTAGTTTGCGAGTACCTTGCACACAATCTATGAAGGATCTGCACGGGTCAAAGCCGATGTCACCCTGAGCCCAACGTCTTGTCTCACATCAAGCAAGGGCAGCTGGTGGCAAGCGGTAAATTTTGTCAGCCATCCGCTGGTGTGCCATTTCCTCAAAAAGCCATGACCGTATAAATCACTCCACAACATAGTTCAAGAATCGCGGACAACCAGTGAAATGATTATAGGCGACACGCGGAAGAGAAAACCACCCGCAGAAAAGATAGGACTTCGGCCGCCCGACTTTAAGAGTGGGCGCATTGCTTCAACTAGTGCAACAGTGTGCCAGGCCTGACGTGGGGGTTTTCCTGTACCACTCGCTGCAGCGGACGGAAAGTTGTGCTAAATACCTTCGCTGACAGCTGCACCGACTCGGTTCTAGTACTCGGGCAACCACGCTGGCATGGAATCTGAGTTCCGGCCTTCTCGCTTTGTCCGTCACTCTGTGATGACAGAACAACGTGCGGAAGTGGAGTATAGATGAAGTATACGGCCTCCTGATACACGAACGGAATCCAGTTCCTCGCATGGCAAGGTGGCTCTCTAGGGTTTGAGGGCGGTGGCATTGTGCTGGACATGCTGGGATGGTGTCCCAAACTTTTCGAATTTCGAGTCAAGGATCTTCTCAGCAACGTCGGTTTGTCCGTAGCTTAGGCGGTGCGCAGCGTTCGGAATGGCAGGCTCCACAGGGTTCACTCCGGTGGACAGGTACCTTGAGGCCAGCCAGAGCCGGTCGTACGGAAGTATGCATCGGTGCTGCTGAGTCACATCTGGGTCACGGCATCCGCAAAGCCTGAAGCAGAGATTAGTTAAGTGTCTGAGTGAACCAAAGAACCAGCAGATGGACAGAAGGGAGATCTGTCTCGAAACAAGCAGGAGAACAAAGGTTGCGCTTAAGTAAGGGAGTCGGCTAAGGGCAGTTGCCACGTGCTGGCCTTGATTGTTTTTTCGGCACGTTGATGAATCTCCGTTGTTGGGAGGCTTCGAGTCGAAAGCAAGCGCCAGACCACTGTCGCCGGCACGTTGACTCACCACCTAAAGGGGCATGATGACAAGACCGGAAACATGCAAAGTCCAAGCATGCCGCAAGGCAACGCGAAGCGGACAGCAAACAACCGCAATAGGGTGGCACAGCTGAAGCAATGCATCTGCCTTGGGATCTTCTGGACCGGTGACGACATGTCGAATCAGCGTGTTGTTGCTAGCGATCCAGGTTTCCGCGATGCACAGGTCCTCCCATCGGCCACCTGGGCATGAGTTTCCATGGACTTTGGATGCACGTTTGGAAAACGGCAAAGACTTAAAGATCATTGCTCTCAAAGCGACCTGTGGAGGTGCGCAGGCCGCTCCAAGTCTGCATCGATGTGCCCACCAAAGGGCTGAGGCCGGCAGTGGGCCATTGCTTCCAGATCTCCATGTCAAGGGCCCGGCTGCCGATGATCACATCGGAATGCCAAATCTGGTTGATGAACACCGCATCTCCCTCGCCCTCAGGGCCGCTGTAGCGGCCGTTGCTCTGCGTGGTCTCGCGTCTGTGCCTCCTTGCAACGATGAACACCTCACCATCTCTGATGGCGAGGGACGGGTTGATGATCATTGCACCAAGATGCTGGCCTTCGGAATCCGACAACTCGAGACGCATGTCCTTGGTGCGGTCATCAATATATTGCTGAGCCGGGATCTCTGGCATGAGTGCATCTGCGGAGGGATCCGGAAGGAAGCTGAACCCGACGAGGCAGGCGGCCAGGATGAACGGGACGACAAGACGAGCTTTGGTATGGGACGCCCACCACTTCTGAATAGGTTGTTGAATGGCTCGTGCAATGAAAAATGCCGATGCATAGGTGAAAATCAGGAACAGGGGAATGTTCACGAGACCAACCTGAGGCCACACTGCGAGGCAGAGAAACTGGAAAACGTAGACGGCGTAAGAATAGTTCTCCAGGAAGTCCAATTTCCTCAACATGTCTGTGGTGTGACGTTCAGCTTAGGCACAAAGGCCGACAACAAAAAAAGAGCCTGTGGTAAGTGCTCCGAGCGGCGAGAAGGCGTAGGAGAAGAGGGGAAGCGGCAAACTGGGCAGCCCGGCCAGGCCAAACAAGATCATGGCTTGGAAGGGCAGGAGCACCGAAATGCGGGCGGAGAGCTTGTAGCCCCAGAGCCTGGCCTGGAAACCCTCCACACTGAAGACGAGAATCAGGAAAAGGTATCCCAGAGGTGCCACAAACTGCAGGGCGATGAGGTATGGGTTTCGGAAGGAGTCCGGAGCATGACCGCAAGCCAAAGCCTTCTTGTCAAGAAGCTGTCTGAGCTTGGCCAGCAACATGCCGAGGATGAAGACATGGAAGTAGCAAACTGGGTGGAACTTTAGCATCACGACGCCGATGCTCAGTGCTGTGTCGGTGCTGAGGAAAGTGTGTTCCTTGTACCAATCCACCGGCTGATTTGCCATCACCGGAATCAACACCAGAAGCCACGGCAAGAAAAAGAAGAAGGCCATCAATGCGGCAGTCGCGCGCAAGGTGATGTTCTTGAGGCAATAAGACAAAGGCTTGAAGAAGAACCAGTACACGACCATACAACTCAGGAACCAGCAATGCATCTGGAGTGCATTCTCTGTGAAAGTTGGCCACCAAGCTTGAAGCAGGAATGACTGCGCCAGCAAAGTCGGCCATTCTGCAGACATGGTGCCAAAGCTCTTCTGCATGATGAAGGCTGGGATCAGGGAGAATGCATACAAGGGGTAGATTGTCGTGCTTCTGCGCAGAACATATTGAATCATGGTCTCCTCCTTCGGGTTCTTCAGATATGCAGAGAAAAGCACGAACCCAGACAGCATGAAGAACCAAGGTACCCAAGTGAAGCCCCACCCAAAGAAGTATATAGGCTCCGTCACCCCCTTCGCAAAGAGGTGGCCCAGTACAACGTGGGTCGAGCCCATGAAGCGTGCGAGGCCGAGCGGGTACTTGTTGGCAGCCTTGCGTGTCTGCAGCATCTTCGCGAGTCTGGCTGTAGCCAGCGTGTCCTGCGCCAACGCAGGTGCTTCCCCCTTCTCCGGCTCCGTCACCTTCTGCTCTGCGACCTCTGCTGGCTGGGTCGGCGAGGGCTTCACCGGAGTCTCCTCTACATTCGCACCCTCCGCAGCTGCCGCAGCATGACTCCGCTTGGATTTGCTGAGCTCCACCGCTGCTTCTGACTTTACGTCCAGATCGACGTTGCTCTTGCATGCTTTGGAAGGCACTGCAGATACAACATCAGTGAGTTCGCCTGCACCTGCCTCTGAGACGGTAAGGGAATGACGGCTTTTCGATTTCTTCGCCGATGGTGTACATGCGTCCGCAGCGATGTCCACCAATTCAGCGGAGCCCTTGGTAGCTGGTCGAGACTGCGACCTGCCTGCCGAGGCGTCTGTTGGCACCGGCTCAGGTTCGTCATGAACCTGAATGGCCACTGCACCACCGTCGGCTTCCGCCACTTTCGCCATCGGCAATGCCACCTCTGCCTTCGCTTCAGCATTCTCTGCTTTTTTGGGTGTCTTGGCGCTGCTTTGCTCGGCCTTTTTCGGACCATATTTGTCCCAAGCATATTGGACAGCAACAACACCCAGGAATGCGAGGACACTGATCAGCGGCAGAAGCCATTCAACATCTTGCGAGCACCACAAGCGGACCCGAATGCTTCCTCTGTGGCATGCATCCAAGTCCACTCGCTCGTCCATGAGAACTGGGGCCGTCAGAAACCCGGTGATATTAACGGCGTCATCACAAAGACCTTCGGTATTCCCGGCCATGGGAGGATCTCCGGCCGTCAACGTGCAGGGAACGCTGTTCATGCACTCCCATTTCTCACACCGCGGGCCATCCAAGCAGCTGGGGTAATACTCGGGGCAATTCTCAAAGCGCGCCTCTGCACAGGGGAGTGGAAAAGCAGTCCTACGGCCCTGCAGTGTGCTGACACTTCATGCGACAGGACAAACCCCCGGCGCGAAAAACCACGACCGTGCGCCTCGGTGCCCGAGCAGAGGTTTCCCTCCCAAACGGCGTAGGCACCCTCGGCCGCCAGCTCGGCAGGGCACATGGTGTTGAACATCACCGTCCACACCTCGAAGCGCCCCCAACAAAAGAACTGCAGTCTGTGCGAGGGACCCTCTGAAGTTTACGAGCTTGCACCACACCGCCTAAGGCTAAGACTGTGCTACCACCGCTTTTGCCGAGGTTGCTCATCAGAGCAAACATGGCGCGTGGCGAGTTGTGCTGCGTCTTGTACATGGTGCTAGACTTCCGAAAGCAGGCTTAGGCCGTTCTCAGCTTAGCGGTGTAGTGCAACCTGTTGCGCCGAGATGCCCAAAGATTCAGCATCTGCGAGCCGTGGCCATTGACGACCTGCAATCTGCTCTGTAGCGCTGTAGCTGCTAAGAGCAGCCAACTAGGGAAGGACAGGGCGAGTCGGCCTCCTCTGGCATGGCACCACCCAGTCTGAAGAAGTCAATGAGCCGAAAGGACGAGGATTGCCGGCCGGCCATGGCCTGCTCGATGTAGGCATTCATGACCTCAGCAAGATCAGGCGAGGCCTCTTCACTCTTCCCCCGGCCCCCGAATCCACGGAAAGACGGGCCTAAGGCCTAAGAGCCTAGGCCTATGCCGTGTTCACCAAAACTGCATAGCTCGACCTGGAAGTTCTCGTTGTCACGCACGCCATTGGTCCATGAAATGGTCCTTGGCGACAGTTCGCTAACGCAGCACTTCGAGAGATTCTTCCTTCCTGGGTCTGCGGATGAGTCTCTGCACATTACAGCCAAGTTCGGCAGCCCGTCCGCTACCTGTGCAGAAGCTGTCCATCTGAACGAAGACCTCCTCCATCTCGTCCTGTCCGCTGACGGGACACAGTGTGTTCTGGCGGTCCCTTACACATTTCGTTTTCTTGCGTTGGCAGGATGCTTCACCTGTTTGGAAAGGCTGTGTCCTTGAAGACTTGGATTGCGGGATCCCTGTCCATATCGAGGAGTTCCTGCCTGGGGCAATAATCCTCCTTCGTGACGCTGCAAACATTGTACCAAGCCCCCACTTGCGTCACCACGGCCACCTGTCAGCTGAGAGCACAGATGCGTTCGTTCCGTCTGCCTGAGCTCTTTCCACAGAGTTTAGGGTCTGTTCAAAGAAGGCAGAGTATGAGAATCCGGCATGCTCACTTGCATCATCATCCTCATCATCATCAGCATCATCATCATCATCATCATCATCATCAGGTCCACCATGGTATACATCTATTCGAGAATTGGACTCTCCAGACGGCAGGGTTGCAGCACGTACGACAACGCAGTAGTCTTGCGCTTTCGCTTGCGTTCGTCAGCAATGTGGTTTCGTGCATCCATCCATTACACACGTGCTTCTGGGCTGTTCTTCGACATTTCCGGTCCGGGTTCAGAGATGGCTGTTATCCCATGTCTCTGCCTGCGAAACACGCTTTTACTTCTCACTTCGACTACACGGCCGTGAATCCCGTGAGGAAGAGGAGAGACACGTCTCCGCTTCGCTCCTTTTGTCCATTCTTCCCTGCTGTATGGTGAGCTCTCATCCGTCATGGGGTTAACTCATTGTCTCGGGGTCGAAGACTCCGGGAGTCCGAATACTTTGACAAACATCGAAAGCTCTCTTGCAGCACGACTTGTCACCACATGCTCAACCCCGAAACAGATGTGGCCTCGACTGGGCTGCTCAGAGGGTCTTGAATTTTCGGAGTGAGGATGCAGTGTTCGGGCTCGAGGACAGGAATCTCAACGAAAGCAGGCACGGAGCAATGAGCCAACACAGCAAGAAACAATCGACGAGGGAGAGCTACGACAGAGAGATAATACACAGATGCGAAACAGAGAGGTGGACAGGATAACAATGCCAAGCATTAAAAAGATGAGAACGGCACGGGACTGTGTGGCAGACAAACAAACAGACTGGTAGATAGAAAGAAAGAAAGATAGATAGATAGATACATAGATATACAGATA